TTTATATATATATATATATATAATATATATATATATATATATATATATATATATATATATATAATATATATATTATATATATATATATATATATATATATATATATATATATAAATATATATATATACATTTATTTATTTATTTAATTATTTATTTATTTATTACCAAACTGCAGCAGGCCAGGATTCGGCCCCACAAAACGTTGTCCCGCCTTAAGAGGCCACACAATGTATATGTCACCTTACCATCTGAGCCATCGATCCGACAAACAACATGAGCCTAGCGCACTAGGCTTGTTTTATGTTGCAAGGACACTCGTGGCAGATGTATGTTCAATGTATAGCTCAGATGGTATGATGACATGTACATTGTGTGGCCTCTTGAGGAAGGACAAGGTGTCGTGGGATCTAATCCTGGCCTGCCACAGTATGGTAAATGATTCCTAACCACTTGTTTCGTGGTTTCATTGTTATATAATATATATGTAATATATTATATGAGGAACTAGTAAACCCTTTGGGTCATATAGTGCCTGGAAATAGGAGGATCCAGGTAAACAAAGTCTAGGGTAGAAATTATGATTTAAAATCACTAAATGATTAGTGATTTTAGGGTCTAAATTTGTGTTATTTAACTGACGGTCATTAAACTGCTCATTATTACGTATTCTTGTGTTACACTATTGTACATAAATCTTACATGAGGTACCCCTGCTCACGTAGCTTAATATAGGGACCTAGGTGTTAGGGACCTAGATTTTAGGGACCTCAACACAAATAAACCACACTGTTTAATTTTAGCAATAAAAATAAATTAACGCACATGTGGTGCACTGTATGGAGTTCCATTATAATTTGTCTTCACTTTTTCACCTCATCTGTCTTCTAGTTATTGCATTTGTTCTCTCTCGGCTGTGACCTGACATACGACAATAACAAACCATAACGTCGTCTAAAGATTATTCTCTAAATTCTGGATTAATTATGATTTGTTCCAGCCACGGTACTGCAGCTTTTATTCCAATTATATTGACAAAAAATTTATGCTGAAAAAATTCACATGGTCACTGGCAACAACAAAGCAGACTGCATCATAAATATTGACGTCTGGTCTTCACCGTACATCAAAAGCGACGATGTTTGTGATGTCTTGGGTCGGCTGCAGTGATGTCACAGTCGGGGCAAATCCTCCTGTGTCCGCCATATATGAAAGGATCTGTAATGATTCTTCTTTTAAAATTGTAATTGTTATTGAAGATTTGGGTGTGAATGTATTTGTAACATTACAGTTGGAACAGATGTAATAAATATTGTCTGACTTTATTGGACACTTAGATCTAAAACAACTACCAACAGCTAAAGAATTTCTGAAGGTGAATTCAAATTTGCTCTATGGATAACTTATTTGTGAGAGATTTAAACAGTGTTTCCTGATACTGTAACTCAAGTGCCTATAGAACTGGAGTTTGATTTAATGAGAATCTTAAGAAATTATAACCATAGTTACTGGAAAGAATTTTACCATAACGAACATCTTCACGAACTGTTACCATTGCTACTGGCAATAAAGATGGTTTTTATATTAAATAAAGCTTTCTTTTTTTAAAGATGTTCAATATATTAACTTCCCTTTCTATGGGCATTTGAGTTACAGTGTAGGGAATCAATGTTTAACAATTTCACTAATGAGTTATCAACAAATTATGTATAAAAATAATTTTGTTAATTCTTTAACTAATGATGCACGTTTTAGATATAAGAGTTCCCATACGCCATCTTTATGTTTAAATATCATTAATCATTTAATTTTAGATATATTGGCAGTAATTTTAAAATACAGAACATATATTCAATAAGAATTATTTCGTGCATTTCAAAGTTTCACTGTCTGCCTTTAGTTTCTTTAAATTAACGAAACACTTTCGTGCCCAGTATGAGAGACCTTTTCATCATCTATAAAGGTGCAGTAAAATATTTAAAGATGAGGGAAATAATATAACTTTAGTCAGGCAGAAAAAAAATGTAACCGCAGGTCGGGACTCACAGCAGTAGCTCATGTGGACAATGTTGAGGTGGAGGTCGGGGTTCTTGCAAGACGCGACGCCCAGGGAGCAAGCGTTGCCGTAGGTCTTCCTGTCACTCCCACACACAGGGTTGTACAGTAAAGAGCAGACGTCGTGACAATGGGTATTTGGCTCTGGAAAACAGAATTACTTGCTGCAGTGACAGAAGATGCTTATTGTTTCTGCTTCTGGTGTTAACAGAGGTTTATTTATATACTGTAATTCAAGAATCATGGATAATATATTCATTCGCTCACCCATTCACTCACGCACTAAGGTTTGCAACAAGGCTAGTCCCAGAGCTCAGGGGAATGTCGTACGAGGAAAGGTTGAGGGAAATCGGACTGACGACACTGGAGGACAGAAGGGTCAGGGGAGACATGATAACGACATACAAGATACTGCGGGGAATAAACAAGGTGAACAGAGATAGGATGTTCCGGAGAGGGGACACAGGGACAAGGGGTCACAACTGGAAGCTGAAGACTCAGACGAGTCACAGGGACGTTAGGAAGTATTTCTTCAGTCATAGAGTTGTCAGGAAATGGAATAGCCTAGCAAGTGAAGTAGTGGAGGCAGGAACCATACATAGTTTTAAGAAGAGGTATGATACAGCTCAGGAAGCAGAGAGAGAGGACCTAGTAGCGATCAGTGAAGAGGCGGGGCCAGGAGCTGAGTCTCGACCCCTGCAACCACAATTAGGTGAGTACAATTAGGTGAGTACAGCAGAGGTATGATAAAGCTCACGGTTCAGGGAGAGTGACCTAGTAGCGACCAGTGACGAGGCAGGGCCAAGAACTAGGACTCGACCCCAGCAACCTCAACTAGGCGAGTATAACTAGGGGAGTACACACACACACACACACACAAACACGTGTCACGTGTGGTCATACCTGTCCTGATCTGTCTAGGTATTAGCGTGGGTGTTACCAAGCACCATGGCTTGGTAACACCCCACTTCAGGCCTCCTATTTTCCTCCTTCTTCAGGAAGAAAATAGGAGGCTGAAACTTCACCTAGATGAGTTTGGCAGTGAGTGTGAAATAGTTGGTGCTGGCAAGGAGGAAATGCTTACCACCAGTGAGAGTGGCAGCCACTTTCAGTGGCAAGTGGTTCACAGTTCAGGAAGAAGGAAGATAAGGAGGGTTAATAAAGAAGATGATGTGAAGGTAGGAAATCGATCCTCTGTTCTCCAAGATGAGAGTACTTCAGTGGTTAGTGAGGTTAAAGGTACCTCTGACTCCCCTACTGATCAAGGTAAGAATATTCTGATTGTGTGAGACTCTCAGGTAAGATATATGGACTGTGCTTTTTGTAACAGAGATAGAAAAGTCAGACAGAGAGTGTGCCTCCCAGGAGCTGGTGTTGGTGACATAGTCAGCAGGTTGGATAATGGTTGTAGATGAATAGTTCAGAGAACCGGCATGTTGTTGAATTAGACACATGTGCAACTCTTGGGTATCTTTACTGAGGAAATGTTTCGCCACACAGTGGCTTCATCAGTCCATACAAAGGAGAAACTTGAAGAACAGGAGGAGAATGAGGTAATCAGTCCCTCAGCCTTGAGTCGATGTGGTCAGTCCATCAGTCTTGAATAGAACACGGCATATGAGCGGAGAAGCAGCTTATAAACCATAGACAGGAGAGGTGCAGCAGTCGTAGGTGGTGTCACATTTGTCCAATGTGGAAGTAGGTCGTGCCCAAGGGTTAGGCAAGTGAAGAATTCCCAAATCTCCTGTTCTTCAAGTTTCTCCTTTGTATGGACTGATGAAGCCACTGTGTGGTGAAACGTTTCCTCGGTAAAGATACCCAAGAGTTGCACATGTGTCTAATTCAACAGGTTGGATAATATTATGTCAGTTAATGGGAACAAGCCCATTATCTGTCTTAGTGCTGGTGGAAATGACACTGGGAAGGGCAGGAGACAGGAACTACTGGATAAGTACAGGTCAGCCATTGAAGTACAGTGGAACCTCAAAATTCAAACATATTACATATTGAACGTTTCAAAAATAGAACCCTTTTTTCGAACCAAGTTTGTCCCTATTATCGAATATGCCCCTATTTTCGGACTGCCGGGTACAGGACCTGTCCGCCAGCCCTCTCTGTCTGTGTCCCCACGCAGGCGCCATGAGCCAGCCTGGCTTTGTTTATGATTGAGTGAACACTAACCTGCGCTCTCATTCAAACATTTTACGATTATTTCATTGTGTTTAGTGCTTGTGGGACTGTGAAATAAGCTACCATAGGCCCAAAGAAACTTGCTAGTGGTACCCCTGTAGTAAAGAAAGTGAGAAACACCATAGTTGTGAAGAGGGTAATAATACAAAAGTATGAGAGTGGTGTGAGACTTGTTGAGCTTGGCAGGATGTACAGAGGACTGTGGACAGATATTCTGAGACAGAGGACTGTGGACAGTTATTTTGTGAGACAGAGACAGAGGACTGTGGACAGTTATTTTGTGAGACAGAAACAGAGGACTGTAGACAGCTTTTTTAGTGAGACAGGGGTCCAGTGACTCTCAAGCTGGTCCTAGTGGCATTAAAAGACAGAGCAGGGAAGGAACCCCAGAGAGGGCTTTACCTGAAGTCCTCATGGAGGGGTATTCTCCATCCAAACACTAACCCCAACTTCCTCTCTCCTCCTCCCTATCTTCCAGATGCCATCACCAATCTTCAATAAAGGTAAGTAAAATGTTATTTTATATTTATATACATAATTGAACACTATAGTATTTGTTGTGTGTATGTAAAACTGTAATTAAACACTATAAAATGTATTTTTTTTGTGTGTGTGTGTGTGAATATTTTTGGGTTTCTGGAACGGATTAATTGTATTTCCATTATTTCTTATAGGAAATATTGCTTCGATTTTCAGACTTTTCGAATTTAGAACTAACTCCTGGAACAGATTAAGTACAGAATTTGAGGCTCCACTGTAGTCAGGTCTAAGGGAGGGATCCTTATCATATGTAGCATCTTGCCTAGAAGGGGAGGGGGCAATGAATGGATGTCTAGGGCAACTGGTATAAATTGCTGACTGGACAGGTACTGCAAGGAACTTGCAATCCCATTCATCGATAACTGGGACAAATTCTATGGCAAACATAATAAAATTGACCACTGTCTGGAAAATCTGCCAGTTGTGACCGGGTGTGGAAGTGTGAATTGCTCATTACACTGTAATTTGTTCATGATTGTAGCCATGTATAAACGTAAGTAACCATTTTTACAGTATTCATTACCTTTGTAACTTGTGAGTTCATTACCTTGTACCTAGTTCAGCCATACAAACTTTGGGGCCCAGTCCCTGGATCCATTACGTACCTCTGTAATCTGTAAATACCTTTGTAACTTGTCATGATTGTGACTAGACCTACCCGGAGTTCATTACCTTTGTAATTTGTGAGTTCATTACCTATGTAAATTGTGAATTCATTACCTCTGTAACTTGCTCAGCTATCAAAACTTTGGAGTCCAGTCCCTGGACCAATTATGTACCTCTGTAATCTTTTGACTACCGCCCACAGGATGGGTATGGAGTGCATAATAAACATATTAAACTAACTCCTGCCCCCAACATCTTGCTCCTGGGGGATTTCAACTTAAGGCACCTAAAATGGAGGAATATGGCAAATAATGTTGCTGCAGAAATAACACCAGGAGGCAGCTCTGATGAGAACTCACACACACACGAACTTTTAAATCTCTGCACAAAATTCAATTTAAACCAGCAAATAATAGAGCCTACGAGACTGGAGAATACACTAGACCTCATCTTCACTAACAGTGATGATCTGATACGAAATGTCACCATATCAAAAACAATATACTCAGATCACAACTGAGAGTCGAAGATCAAAATGAATTTTTTATGAGAGAGCCACAGAATTTGGTTAGCACAAGCCTATCTGATGTTATCCTGACGCCAAATGACTTCGAACAAGCGATAAATGACATGCCCCACTCCACAAAGGGGGCAGTAAAGCAATAGCAAAGAACTACAGACCGATAGCACTAACATCCCATATCATAAAAATCTTTGAAAGGGTCCTAAGAAGCAAGATCACCACCCATCTAGAAACCCATCAATTACACAACCCAGGGCAACATGGGTTTAGAACAGGTCGCTCTTGTCTGTCTCAACTATTGGATCACTACGACAAGGTCCTAGATGCACTAGAAGACAAAAGGAATGCAGATGTAATATATACAGACTTTGCAAAAGCCTTCGACAAGTGTGACCATGGCGTAATAGCGCACAAAATGCGTGCTAAAGGAATAACTGGAAAAGTTGGCCGATGGATCTATAATTTCCTCACTAACAGAGCACAGAGAGTAGTCGTCAACAGAGTAAAGTCTGAGGCAGCTACGGTGAAAAGCTCTGTTCCCAAGCACAGTACTCGCTCCCATCTTGTTCCTCTTCCTCATATCCGACATAGACAAGGATGTCAGCCACAGCACCGTGTCTTCCTTTGCAGATGACACCCGAATCTGCATGACAGAGTCTTCCATTGCAGACACTGCAAGGCTCCAGGCGGACATCAACCAAATCTTTCAGTGGGCTGCAGAAAACAATATGAAGTTCAACGATGAGAAATTTCAATTACTCAGACATGGTAAACATGAGGAAATTAAATCTTCATCAGAGTACAAAACAAATTCTGGCCACAAAATAGAGCGAAACACCAACGTCAAAGACCTGGGAGTGATCATGTCGGAGGATCTCACCTTCAAGGACCATAACATTGTATCAATCGCATCTGCTAGAAAAATGACAGGGTGGATAATGAGGACCTTCAAAACTAGGGAGGCCAAGCCCATGATGACATTCTTCAGGTCACTTGTTCTATCTAGGCTGGAATATAGCTGCACACTAACAGCACCTTTCAAGGCAGGTGAAATTGCCGACCTAGAAAATGTACAGAGAACTTTCACGGCACGCATAACGGAGATAAAACACCTCAATTCCTGGGAGCGCTTGAGGTTCCTAAACCTGTATTCCCTGGAACGCAGGAGGGAGAGATACATGATTATATACACCTGGAAAATCCTAGAGGGACTAGTACCGAACTTGCACACGAAAATCACTCACTACGAAAGCAAAAGACTTGGCAGACGATGCACCATCCCCCCAAAGAAAAGCAGGGGTGTCACTAGCCGTTAAGAGACCATACAATAAGTGTCAGGGGCCCGAGACTGTTCAACTGCCTCCCAGCACACATAAGGGGGATTACCAACAGACCCCTGGCAGTCTTCAAGCTGGCACTGGACAAGCACCTAAAGTCAGTTCCTGATCAGCCGGGCTGTGGCTCGTACGTTGGTTTGCGTGCAGCCAGCAGCAACAGCCTGGTTGATCAGGCTCTGATCCACCAGGAGGCCTGGTCACAGACCGGGCCGCGGGGGCGTTGACCCCCGGAACTCTCTCCAGGTAAACTCCAGGTATACACCTGGAAAATCCTAGAGGGACTAGTACCAAACTTGCACACGAAAATCACTCGCTACGAAAGCAAAAGACTTGGCAGACGATGCACCATCCCTCCAATGAAAAGCAGGGGTGTCACTAGCACGTTAAGAGACCATACAATAAGTGTCAGGGGCCCGAGACTGTTCAAGTGCCTCCCAGCATACATAAGGGGGATTACCAACAGACCCCTGGCAGTCTTCAAGCTGGCGCTGGACAAGCACCTAAAGTCGGTACCTGACCAGTCAGGCTGTGGCTCGTACGTTGGTTTGCGTGCAGCCAGCAGTAACAGCCTGGTTGATCAGGCTCTGATCCACCAGGAGGCCTGGTCACAGACCGGGCCGCGGGGGCGTTGACCCCCGGAACTCTCTCCAGAATCACTTCCAGAATCCAGAATCCAGAATCTATGCAAGGGATGGGGTTCATCTTTCTAGGGTTGGAGTGGTTGCATTAGCCAATTCGATTGAGGGGGTCATTGATGACTTGTCTAAGACTTTAAACTGATAGATTATAGAGGTATGGATGTTTGTGGGAAACAATTAGGCTGAAGTATTATTGTTGGAAACAGCAGATATTACCAGGATACCTCAGGGATATGTTTAAAAGACAATATTCAAAATAAAGTTCCTAATAAAGACAAAGCAACTGATCAACAAACAAAGAGAGATAGTAGAGGGCAACGAGTGACTAGCTCCCTTAAGGTTTACTATACAAATAGTAGGAGTCTAAGAAATAAGATAGATGAGCTAAGATTACTCGCAAGTGCAGGTATAAATATAGTATTATTGCCTATAACTGAGACTGGGTCAACTGGAAAGGATAGAGAATGCCTTCTGAATCAGCGTAAAATTGTTACTGCACTCTAAATTCAGGTTAGGCAGAAACTCTCCTAAAGAATTTCGCTCCTGCATCCCCCCATCAAATTTAAATATGAATGGAAAACTGAAGATAAACAGGTCTTCACTTCTATGTTTGCCAACATATGTTGGGTCCCATTGTTAGTCATATTGTTTCAAATATGGTTAAGAGTATCTTCGTTCCTAGTATCAGGAAAACCCACTCTCTCCCTCCTTCTCCTTCCTTCCTTAGTGTTCAGTTTCTTTGTGTCTTGCAGGCAGTAAGATAAGATAAGAGATAAGATTTCGTTCGGATTTTTAACCCCGGAGGGTTAGCCACCCATGATAACCCAAGAAAGTCAGTGCGTCATCGAGGCTGTCTAACGTATTTCCCAATTGGGGTCTTAATCTTGTCCCCTGGTCTAGCAACCAGGTAACCTGTTTTGCGGCTAGGCTGAAACAGGACAACAGGTGTAAGGAAACGTGTCGAATGTTTCCTCCCGCGGGAATCGAACCCGGGCCCTCCGTGTTGTGAAAGCTGGGAGCTTTGGCCTCAATGGACACAGGGCCACACAGTATCAATTAAGAATAGTATGTTTATTCAGATATATAACATAATACAAACCATACAACGGGCGGGGATAGAACCCCGATCAGAGAGTATCATAACAAACTACTGCCCGTCGCGTTAGCCACTGGACCAGCTAGACACATTAGGATTCATCCAAACTAGTACATTTCATAACAATAGGAAGGTTAGAACAGGCTACTCTGTGGACACATATGCAAGTTTTTACAAACTTGCATTTGTGGTCACAGTAATGTGGTCAAGTAATACTTTCAGTATAATCTAAAACTTAGACAAGGTTATCGTTAAAGATAATCATCAGCAAAAAATAAAGCAAAGTTCACAAATTATTTATTTCTAACGCTATAAGTTTTGAACGTTGATAATACTCACTACAAGAGCCGTTGTACATCTTCTTCAGGAGGTGGTTCTTACAAGCGGCTTGATTCAGCTTGCACTCGTTTCCATAAGTTTTGTGGTCTGAACCACAGACTTGCAAATTAGGATGATCTGAACAGAAGCGGGGGCACGGATCCCTGCTAGCTGTAGATGTTGGGGAAACACAGTGCATGTTTACAACGTACTTTTGTAAATTAACGAAACTATCACATATAATACACTTAAAAAAAAAAAAAGACAATACCGTGATTGGAACGATCTGAAAATAACCGCACATAGAAGAAGAACACCGTGGACTTAACTGATTCCTTTCTCTTCTTCTCTTTCTTCCTTTCCTTCTTTCTCTTTCTTCCACCTTTCCTCTTTTCCTTCTCCCCTTTCCTCTTTCTATTCGGGTTGTCTTTCTTCTGCCTTGGGTATTTGTTCATTCATTATTTATTTTTTTCCCTCTCTGCGTTCTTGCTCCTACCTTCTGTTGGCCCTAGCTCCTTGTGGGCCCCTAGCTCCCTTGTGGGCCCCTAGCTCCCTTGTGGGCCCATAGCTCCCCTGTGGGCCCCTAGCTCCCTTGTAGTGCTTCTCTTTCTTAGTATTTGACTGACTCCTCCTCCACCATACTACCTTCCCCACTACTACCTTCTACCTCCACTACTACCTTCTACCTCCAACTACTACATTTTACCTCCCGACTACTACTTCTACCTCCACTACTTCCTTTACCTCCACTACTACCTTCTACCTCCACTACTACATTTTACCTCCACTACTACCTTTACCTCCACTGCTACCTTCTACCTCACTAATATTCCCCACTACTACCTTCTACCTCCAATACTACCTTCTACCTCCACTACTACTTTCTACCCCACACTACTACCTTCTACCTCCACTACTACCTTCTACCTCCACTACTACCTTCTACCTCCACTTGCTATCTTTACCTCCACTAATACCTTCCCCATACTACTTTCTACTCCACTACTACCTTCTACCTTCACTACTACTTTCTACCTCAATCTTCTACCTTCATACCTCCACGTATACTGCTCCCCCACTACTACCATTCTACCTCTCACTACCTACCTTCCTACCTCCTATAATACCTTCCCCACTACTTACTTCTACCTCACACTACTACTTCTACCTCCCACTAGTACTTTCTACTCACTATTACTTTCTACCTCCCACTACTACCTGCTACCCCCACTACTATCTTTACCTCCAATACTACCTTCTACCCAACTACTACCATTCCCCACTACTACCTTTTACCTCCTACTTACTACCTCTACGCCAATTGTACTTTTACCTCCACTACTATCCTTCTTCCTCCAGACTACCTTCTACCCCACTCTAACTTCTACCTACACTACTCATTATACTCTCTACTAACCTTCCCCTCACTACCTTCTTAACTCCACTACATCTTCTACCTCCATACTACTTTCTACCCGCAATACTACCCCCTTTCTACCTCCACTACTACACCTTCTACCATCCTCATACTACCTTTCTACTCCACTACTTCCTGCTAAACCCCATCTACTAATTTACTCCATCTACCTTCTTCTCCTCTACTTCCTTCCCCACTACTACATTCTATATACATCTACTACCTTCTACCTCCACTGTAGTACTTTTCTACCTCACTTTCACCTTCTACCTCCACTTACTTACCTGCTACCCCCATACTAACTTCTACCTCCAATACTACTTCTACCTTCCACTACTACCTTTCTTCCTCACTACTACCTTCCTACCCCACTACAACCTTCTACCTCCAATAGTACTTTCTACCTCCACTACTCCCTCTACCTCCACTATACCTTCTACCCCCATATACCTTCTGCCTCCACTACTACCTTCTACCTCTCCACTAGTACCTTCTACTCCACTATACCTTCTACCTCACTACAACCCTGTCTACCTCCACTATCTACTTTCTACCTCCACTACTACTTCTACCCTCCACTACTACCTTCTACTTCCACTACTACTTATAACTCCACTACTACCTTCTACCTCCATATACCTTCTACCTTCACTTCTACTTCTACCTCCACTACTACCTTCTACCTAAACTATTACACTCTTCCCCACTACTACTTCTACTCCCACTATACCTTTACCTCCACTACTACCTTCTACTCCCTACTACCTTTCTACCCCACCACTTACTTCTACCTCCACTATTTCCTTCTACACTCACTACTACCTTCTATCTCACTACTAACGTCTACCTTCTCTACTACCTTCTACCTCCACTACTACCTTTTACATCCACTACTACCTTCTACCTCCACTACTACTTCTACCTCCACTAACATACCTCGTCTAACCATCCACTATACCTTTACATCAACTACTACCTTCCCTAATACTACCTTTACCTCCACTATACCTTCTACCCCTCCACTGCTACATGCTACTCACTACGACCTTATACCTCACTTCCACCTTTCTAACTCCACTACTACCTTTCTTACCTCTGATACTACACTTTACCTCCACTACTACCTTCTACGCCACTACTACCTGCGACCTCTGTACTACCTTCTACCTCCATACCACCTTCTACACCCCCATACTACTTTCGACACCACTTATACCTTCTACCTCCATACTACCATTTACACTCCTTATTACATTCTACATCCACTACTTTTTCTACCTCCACTATACCTTCTACTCCACTACTACCTTTACCTTCCAATTATACCTTCTACCTCCACTACTATACTTCCCCACTACTACCTTCCTACCTCCACTACTACCGTCGACCTACACTGAGTTACTGTCTGCCTCCTCTTACTTCCTTCTACATCCACTACTACCTTCTACCTCCACTACTCGTCTGCCCTCCACTACAACCTTCTACCTCCTTACTACCATCTACCTCCTCTGACTACCTTCTACCTCCACTGACTACCTTCTACCTCCACTACTACCTGCTTCCTCCACTACTACATTAGACCCCCACGATTACCTTATACCTCACACTACTACCGTCTACATACAACTATTACTTTCTTCCTCCACTAATTCTTGTTTCCCTCCACTACTACTTCACCTCCATACTTCATTCTACCTCCATTTACCTTTCTACCTCCAATACTTCCTTCTACCTCATTACTACCTTCCCCACTACTACCTTCTACCTCCACTAACTACCTTTACCTCCACTTACTTACTTTCTACCTCCACTACTACCTTCTACCTCCACTACTACCTTCTACCTCCATACTTCCCTTCTACTCTACTACTACCTTCTACCTCACTACTACCTTCTACCTCCACTACTACCTTCCCATACTACCTTCTACCTCCACTATACCTTCACCTCCAGTACTACCTTCTACATCACTACTACCATTACCTCCATACCTACTTCTACCTCCACTACTACCCTTCTACTCCACTACTTCCTCCTAACCTCCACTAAATTCTACCTCCAATATACCTCTACCTCTGCTACTACTTCTACCTCCACTACCACCTTTACCCCCACTACTACCTTCTCCCTCCACTACTACCTTCTACCGTCCCACTACTACTTCTACCTCACTATACCTTCTACTCCACTACTAACCTTCTACCTCCACTACTACCTTTACTCACTACTACTTCTACTCACTACACCTTCTTACCTCCACTCTACCTTCCCCACTACTACTTCTACCTCCACTTACTACCTTCTACCTCCAGTACTACCTTCTACCTCCACTACTACCATCTACCTCACTATGTCTTTCTACTCCACTACTACCTTTACCTCATCTACTACTTCTACCTCACTACTACCGTCTACCTCCATACTAACCTTCTACTCTGCACTACCTTCTACCTCCACTACTACCTCTCTACCCCACTACTACCTTCTACCTCCACTATACCATCTACCTCCCTCTACTTCTACCTCCACACTATACCTTCTACCCTCCACTACTACCTTCTACTCACTACTACCTTCTACCTCATACTACCTTTACCTCACTACTACCTTTTACCGCCACTATACCTTCTACTCCCACTGCTACCTTTACCTCTCTATACCTTCCCCACTACTACTTTCTCCTCCACTCCTACCTTCTACCTCCACTATACTTTCTACCTCCACTACTACTTCTACCTCCACTATACCTTCTACCCCCACTACTACCTTTACCTCCACAACTACCCTTCTACCTCCATACTACTTCCCCCATTACTACCTTTTACCTTCACTACTACCTTCTACCTCCACGAGTAACTTTCTACCTCCCTATTACCTTCTACCTCCACTACTACTGCCTACCCCACTACATAATTTCTACCTCCCATACTACCTTCTACCTCCACTACTACCTTCCCCACTACTACCTTCTACCTCCACTACTACCTCCTACCTCCAATAGTACTTTCTACCTCCATACTTCCTTCTACCTCCACTACTACTTCTTAACCCATATCTACTTTACCTCCACTACTTACTTCTACTCCACTACTACCTTCCCACTACTACCATTCTACCTCCAACTACAACCTTCTACCTCCATACTACTTTCTACCACCACTACTACAATTTTACCTCCACTACTACCTTCTACCTCCACTAATACTTCTACCTCACTACTACCTGCTACTCCCACTAATACCTTTCTTACCTCCACTACTACCTTCTACCTCCACTACTACCTTCCCCACTACTACCTTCTACCTCCACTACTACCTTCTACCTCCACTAGTACTTTCTTCCTCCACTAATCACCTTAGACCTCCACTACTACTGCTACCCCCACTACTAACTTCTACCTCCAATACTACCTTCTACCTCCACTACTACTTTACCTCCACTATACTTCTACCTCCACTACTACCTTCTACCTCCATAGTACTTTCTACCTCCAATCTAACTCTACCTCCATATCTACCGTATACCCCACTACTACTTCTACCTCCACTCTACCTTCTACCTCCACTTCTACCTTCTCCCACTAATACCTTCTACCTCACACTACATCCTTCTACCTCTCTACTAATTTTCTACCTCTCTACTTACTGCTACCTCCTACTACTTCTACTCCACTACTAACTTCTACCTCACACTCTACCTTCTACCTCCGCTACTACTACTTCTTCCTTCACTTTACTACCTTCTTCCTCCAATA